TGTTTGGTAATGTATCAAACTTGACATGCAGGCGAGAATAACAGTGGTATATTATTTGTCTCTGGAGTTCTCTCTAAAAAAACGTTTATGCGTATTTTCAGGATGCAAAAGTAATACAAGCTCATTGCAGAAAGATTAAAAAGTCTGAAGTAACTTTAAAAATCTGAAAACTTTCAAAGTTGTATTAATCAGTAAATTGTTGTGAGTCTATGTCAAAATTGTATCATATCTTTTGAAATTAACAAAAGCACAGCAGCTGCCATTTCAATTATCAGCCTTTATGCTATAAAGGCCTAAGATAACGTGTATATCATGCAGAGGCATAAATACTCAGAATTTCCTTTTTTTTTTTTTTAAATAGAGATGGGGTTTCACCATGTTGGCCAGGATGGTCTTGATCTCCTGACCTCGTGGTCCACCCACCTCGGCCTCCCAAAGTGCTGGGATTACAGGCGTCAGAATTTCCAAGTATGGAATAACTGGGATAGTTCTTTTCTAAATTATTTTTTAGTAGGTTTGTATAAGTAAGTAACCTAAATAACTTAGTCCCTAAGCAATAAATTCTTGTAGTACAGTTTAACCCTAGGTAAGTCTAAAAAAATCTTATCCATATCACTTCTTAGTAGATGCATATTGCTCTAACTCAAAATAACTGACAGCACTCAAACTCCCCTAAAATGCCTCATATTTTCTATAAAGCCCTCTAATTTTTTTGCACATAATAATACTTACGCTTTTTTTGTCATGGACTGAATTGCATTCCCCCACCACCCTCTAAATTCATATGTTGAAGCCCTAATCCCCAATGTGATGGTATTTGGAGATGAGACCTTTAGGGAGGCAAATAAGGTTAAATGAAAACCACAAGGGTGGGGTGGGCCCTCATCTGATAGAACTGGTGACCTTATAAGAAGAGACATCAAAGAGCTCTCCCTCATGTGTACACACAGAGGAAAGGCCACGTGCGGATATAGCAAGAAGGTGGCCACCTACAAGCCAGGAAGAAAAGCCTCCCCAGAAACCCTGTTGCCAATACCTTGATGTTGGACTTCAGCCTCCAGAACTGTGAGAAAGTGACTTTCTGTTGCTTAAGCCACTCAGTCTGTGGTATTTTGTCATGACAGCGCAAGCTGACTAACATACTCCTTTACATAATATTGAGAGTTAACTAAGTTAAAGAACCTGTACCATTTGTCAAACTTACCTATGATATAGGAGGCAGGATCGAATTGGTCTCTGGGGCTGGAGAGGGTGGGAATGAGCCACGTCAGTGCTGCACTCTTCTCGCAATACTGGTCCTGGATAAAGCCTCTGATCTGAGCGTAGTAGGGCTTTCCATCTTGTTCATCAATCACAGAAACAACGTCACCAATTTGATAATATACTCCCTGGGGGAAAGAGACATGATCCCACATTGAAAAAAAAAATAGAACACCACAGCTATGAATGGACCTTAATAGGTAAGCAAGTTTTCAAAGTGGTCAATGAAGGTGTTCGAGGTAGACTAATGGATCAATGTTTACATGTTTGTTTATTTGTTTAGCCAATGCTAAAGTTGTTTCACTTTTGAATGAAAATTATACATACACATACGAGGGTGCGTGTACGACAGTTTACATCTAGAAAAAAC